AAAAAAAAAAAAAAAATCAATAAGAATGTACTTATTATACGTAATAAATGAAAATGCAATGCTAATGAAAAAGATTCGTACGACGATGAGGCAATAAATTTCAACAAATTTTAATTGATGGTTATTTTCACATGGAATTTATCGGCAAGATGGGACAACGAAATTTTCACGTGTAATATTTCCGTGCATCTCCATAAATATTAATTACTCGATAGCGTGGTATTCTCTTTTTTTTTTTTTTTTTTTTTTTTAACCATGATACTATATATACGTACACAGCGAGCAAACCGTGGTCGAGCCGTTCGTCACGGATAATAGTATGCAAACGAATATCCCGCAAACAGTATGCAAATAAATACCCTAGACTAAATATGGAGACGCCTGTCTTTCTTCGTTCTTCTTCTTTGTTCTTTCTTTTTTTCCGCGTCGCGTCAGAATAAGTTAATACGTCTGCGTAAACGCGATGGAAACGCCTCTCGAGGTTCAGGCAGTAGTAGTACCAGGAATTTCCTCGCATTTTACAGTACAGTGCACAGTTGTACGGAAGGTTAGTTTCGGCTTATAAAAATCTCAACTGCAGCGGACGCAACCGAGTTCACCATTTTCCCCTCTCCTTGGGGCCGCGTACAAGTAGACGGAAGTACAGCTGCCTTGCAGTGTTAAGGTAATGCCTCCATTTCCGTGGACACTTTACATACACGCATAGACGCGCATACGTATCTAAAATTATCTTCGACAACGATAATTGTTGCCCGTGACAATAATTTCCTATTCTTTTGGAAATATTTCTACATGGAGTTGTAATCTTTGTCTGATGTTTCTTTTTCTTTTTAATATTAGATCAACGCGCGTGAAACTTGAAGAATTTGTAACAAACTTTCTCTTCGTTAATGTGGTTAATAGGGTGAAATCTGAATGAGTAGCACTGGCTTGTCGAATTCAAGCAATCTGAAAGCTACTTGCTTGCAATTTCAAATATTATAGAATACATGTAAAACAATTTAGGATGAGAAAAAGTCGGAAATTTGAATAAATTGTTTGAAATACTAAGGAACAGCAGATGGTGTTATTTGACAAGAAAGAATTCTTGTTGCAGAAAGACGGATTTTTAATTTTTATTTCGTAGGTGGACTATACTATTTCTGCACGGTATGGTACTCATTCGTATTACTTTTTGAATTTCTTTCTCTTCCAGTTTTAAGTATACATTTATCTGCCGTTTTGTCCAGTTATCTTCTTTATTTATCTCGAGTAAAAAAGAACTCTGAAAATTTTTACTTTCAATTTGATTTTCGAATTGAATTGACAAAACAGTCGGAAAAGTTGTTTGTTTTTACAGGTTTACTTTCGCATAAAATTCGTTGTTTAGTTTTTCAACGTGAAACCAAAGAGAGGACCTATTGACTAACTAAACAATCCAGTTAATTAAAGCTGTGTTTATTTAGGACGGGAGGATGTTGTTCAAACGGAAATTCTTTCCTACAATTACAAGAGATTGTTGTTTCTAAACTTTTTATATCGTCAACCTCCATATATATAATTAAAATTATTATTTCGTCGTAGAAAAACTCCATTTATAAATATCAAAACGTGTAGCAATGTATATACTTTTATATAATAATATTATAATAATTATATTATAATATAATAATATATTATAATAATAAAATCCAAAACTGTAGATTACATGCAAGACGAACAGAACACCGAATTGTTTAATTATATTAAATTACGCACGCTCTCGTCGCTATATTTTGGACATCGAACGACCTATAAAAAAGAATCATCAGATCCTGTCACGGAAACAATATAGTCCTCGAATAGATCGTAGGAATAAATATATACAACGCGTTTAATCCTTTAAGCGTTCTGTTTTATTTTGAGAATATGCACTGGTGTGCTTAATTATTTCTAGGCGACGATCAGTATACTCGACGAAAACAAAGTGAATGCACTTGCTGTAAGATTGAGTTAAATTATAACAAAATGACAGATGTGTTTCTTTGAAAAATTTCTAACTTCATTAGTATTCTACGGTAGTTACAGAATTTAACATTTTATTTTTTTGAAAATTATTCCACGAAAGAAGCCATTAAAAATTTGAACTTGAATTTTCATCGTAAAATTCGTAGAAATAAATAAAAAATCAAATATCTGCAAAATTAAAATGATTGAAGATTTAATTTGTTTTTGCATTGTATCGATTGCGCCAGATTTCTCCGAACAGTACTCGTTATTTTCTTTGTTTGTTTCGTTGCCTTGAAATGTTCCAAAATGTGCTAAAATTACAAATTTTACACATAAATAGCAGAAGCGAATTTTTGACGAGTATACTCGACATTAAAAGTTCCATCTCGACATAAACGTTTAAGGGGTTATGTCGACAGGTAGAATCGTATAGTGCGCGCACGATCGGTAGTACAGCACATACTTCGCGCCATAACGAATGAAGATGAGATCGTTGAACACAGCGATTATCTTGCCAAAGGTGCGAACTATTTTGTTCGTTAAATACTCGACCTGTCCCGGCGTCATGGCTTATATATGAGCGGGGTTTTAACGGGCCGTGGGAAGTCGTACGATCCATTATCGTTCTGACTGCTGTTTCTAAGCGAAATTTCACTGGATTCCGCCGGGAGTTCTGCATTTTGGTGGCTGCTCCCACAATACCTACAATCTGTTTCTTCCGTTTAGCACCGTAATTGCGCTATTATTACGAGTACCGCGGCCCATCTCTACGACTTCTATTTCTCAGGCATTTAACGCGGTTGCGAAAATCTTTCCGCGGCGGAATTATTCGAGATGCGTGTACGCACGCGTGGTTTCTCCATCGGCAGTGGAGGTAGTTATTAGCGAATCGATTTAACGTCGGTGCATCGTTGCAGATGCATTTGACGATGTTGCAAATGTTACGCGATCGAGATCGTAGAGTTTCATTTATAATTGAAAGCGTAGAATTTCATTTGTTAATTAATAGAAGAATGCTACCAATTAAGAATAATTAATAGAATGGGGTTTCTGTTTGGGAGGTAAGAGTTTGTAAAACAAAATGGAGATGATGATGATGATAATAATAATAATAATTTATCAGTGGAAAAATTCGTAGCGATAGAATATTAGCAGAGTTGTTTTTGACTCGTTTGTTCGATGTTACTTTACAGTTTTATATATATTTATAACATATTTGTAACATACTGGTGCGAGACAATTTTATGTAAGAACACAAATCTTGTTGAAAATTTACTTTCGCGTTTAACGGTGTATTTTCGTCTCTTTCTTTAAATAGATCGAACGAGGTGGTGTTTATAAAATTCGCGCAAAGTAATTAGTCGAGCTGTTTTTTTTTTCTTTCACACACGGTGGTAGAAATAGAATCCTCCGAGACAGGGAATATTTAACGAAGTCTTATCATGGAAGAGGATGGTACTATTTGTGTAGTAAAACTTCATTAAACCTTACAGTCC